TGGGAAGGAGAGGGGGAGGAACTCACCGGCGCGGCTGGGGGCGTGAGCGCGGGGAGGAGCTCGCCGCGGGAGGAGGAGCTCGATGGTATGCGTCCGCCACCGACCACCTCGTCGTCCTCATGGGCGCCGGCGCGTGGGAGAGGGAGACGCGTTGGAGTGAGAGGGAGAGGGAGAGGAGACGCACAGGAGGGAGGTCATGCCATCACGTGACGGTCGCGGAATAACTTTTCTATATGCAATGAACGCAAAGTGGCTAAAATTAAACTCGTATACTTACAACAGCACGAAATAGCCGGGGTGATATGTGTACAATGTACAAGTACAAACACTGAAATCAAACGACCAAGTATCAGAAATTTTTTTACTTCAGATAATGCCAAAGTGAACTAGAATTTGGAATGGAGGGAGTATACGTATAAGTATATATACAACAAACATAAAAAGGACTGGAAACAAAAAGAGAAGAATTTCTCCAACCAGATCTGCTCATGAGCAGACACCATGCATACCCAGCAAACACAGGATCGAGTGATGAACTCGATGGACAATCAGACGACAGGCTGGCACTCCACGTCTCTACATAACACAGTTACACATGCATCGCTACGGAAGGATGCTTGGTTATGCCGAAGGAGGTGGCGCCAAGAATGGCTTCGGCACTCCCGGGATGGAGGGCATTGGTGGCAGTGTCACTTTAGGCACGGCGGGCATCGGCGGCAGTGTCACCTTGGGCACGGCGGGGACGGCCGGCACCGTGGGCACGGCGGGGATCGGCGGGAGTGTCGCCTTGGGCACGGCGGGGACGGCCGGCATAGGGGGCAGCGCGGCGTTTGGTACTGTGGGCACCGCGGGCATCTGCGGGAGGGTCGCCGTGGGGACCGCCGGCACCGTGGGCATCGGTGGCACGGTGACCGCGGGAAGCGGTGGCAAGGCCGCCGCGGCAGGCACCGCAGGCACGGCGGCAGGAGTGGCAGCCGAAGTCGAGTCGGCAAGGAAGCGTGCAGCATGGCAAGTGCTGCTGCCGGCGAGCATGAGCGCCATGACGAGCGCCGTGGCGAAGAGAGCTGAGGCGGCAGATGTCATGTGCGATCTTGATTCTTGATCGGCCGGTTAATAGTAGGCCGTAGTTGCTAATCGCTAAACTAGCTATAGGAAGGAACTCTGTCTGTTTACTAGCAGTGATGCAAAGGGCATGCGCAATGGAGGTCAATTATAGGCCACGGCCTGTGCAAATTGGTCGTCACCGATGAGCTTTTGAGTTTTGATCACCTTCCGAGCCATACGGTTTTTGTTTAGGAGAGGGTGGTGGATACCGGCCGGTTTGACGATGCTTCTCTGGTAGCTCAGCTTCTTACATGCAGGCCAAGGTTTTCATTATTGGAAATAAAAATTTATCGGATGTCATGGATAAATAGGATAAGCAAGATATATCGGATATATCGGATCAAATTCAAAAAAAATTCAAATTATTTTGAAAAAAATTCGTAGAATTTGACTTGAAACTATTCCTAAGCTATTAAACATCACTTGTCCACAGATAAAAACAAGAATAAAACATTATAGTGTGGGACCGTCGCACGACTGAATTTGGGTTGTCTGTGTGGAAGCAGGAAAGAAGGGAAAAATTTGGTCGATGTCAAATTTTATCGGACCCTATGGATAGAAGGGGAATTTCGGAAATTTCGGTGAATTTCGGCCGATAAAAAAAACCTTGAAATGCAGGACACTGACACTAAGCTGTGCCGCATATCTGCATATCTGGTTGCACTACTGAAACCGGCGCTTTGCCGAGTGCTTGCGGCACTCGGCAAAGCCCAAAATACATTTGGCAAAGGCTTTGCCGAGTGCCGCACTCGGTAAAGGGCACCCGGCAAAGAATTAATCGGTAAAAAATCCTTTGCCGACTGCTTTTTGTCGGGCACTCGGCAAAGCCTTTGCCGAGTGCTAGAAAAGCACTCGGCAAAAATTTACACTCGGCAAAATAAAAATGCTAAAAAAACTAAAAAATAATAGCAAAAATTTTTTTTCGGGGGAGGGCCAGCCCGTCCGTCCAGCGCCATCGGCCATCAAAGTCGCTGTATTTTTTGCGCAAAATTCGCGGCTAACGCGACCTGCGGGATTCAAACTCACGACCTCTCCCTCGTGTGTCTGCTGCTCTACCACTGCACTACACTGTCACTTGTGTCTACATTCCGTTACCTATCCTCATATATTATACTAAACCGAAAGTAAATTGCTTGTTGGAGGCCCTAACCGAATTCAAATAAAAAAGTGGTCAATTACAAAGTTTCATAACTTTTCGAGATCTACAATTTTCATTAAGGAAGTTTTTCCATCCGAGGTCGTTTGAAAAATTCGAATTTCAAATTTGAGAGATTCAAACGTAGTTTTACATGATAAGATGATTTCAAATCAAAAAGTTGTCAACTGCATAGTTTCATAACTTTTGGAGATCTACAATTTTTATTTAGGAAGTTTTTCCATCCGAGGTCTTTTGAAAAATTCAAATTTTAAAATTTTCAAATTCAAACGTCGTTTTTGCATGACAAGATGATTTCAAATCAAAATGTTGCCAACTAAAAAATTTTATAACTTCTCAAGATCTACAAAGTTTATTTTGGTCATTTGTTCATCCGACATAGTGGTAGTAACATTATATTCACAAATCTTATATATTTCTCTTCTACTTTTATAAAACTAATACGAGACATATGAGAGAGATGTAGATTTTATGAACAACGTTATTGTCGCTTTGTCAAATGAAGAAATGATCAAAATAAACTTTGTAGATCTTAAGAAGTTATACAACTTTGTAGTTGAAAAGTTTTTCATTTGAATTCATTTAGGGCCTCAAAAATTCTTTGAAAAAATGATTTGCCGAGGGTCAAAAAAAAATACACATGGCAAAATGACTCTTTGCCGAGTGCCAAAAAAAAGGCACTCGGGAAAGACGTATTTTGCCGAGTGCCAAAAAATGGCACTCGGCAAAATGCCTCTTTGCCGAGTGCCAAAAAAGGCACTCGGCAAAGACGCATTATGCCGAGTGCCAAAAAATGGCACTCGGCAAAATACATTTTTGCTGAGTGCCGAAAAATAACACTCGGCAAAGCCATCTTTGCCGAGTGCCGAAAAAAACATTCGGCAAAGCCGTCTTTGCCGAGTGCCCGATAAAATACACTCGGCAAAGTGCCGGTTTCCGGTAGCGTTGGTTTCTAAACTATATATCATGACACCAGCAGATTTGTTTTGTAACATTAGGTACAAAAATAGTCAATAATGCAAGTAAACTAGTGAAGGTAGAGCTTGTGTGATTTTAATTCAATTCACAATAATCCATTGCAAAAGAAATTTCACAAAAGCTCCAAGATGCAAACACACATGCCGTCAATTCAATCACTGACGGACATGCATCTAATTTTTTTTCTGTTGAATAAAGCAAATTGTCGGCCTTCTTTTTAATTTATGTTTTTAGCTATACTGATCGGTGCATGTAACTCAATATGATTTTACAGCTAGAGATTTTGAATTTGAATCCTAGTTAGCACAATTAAATAAAAAATACTTGCTACTTGTTTCAATTCCACGAATGAAAGGAGCCCCTACGTGAGAGGGTGTTAAAATATATAGTGAATTGTTCGTCTTCCTCGTCAGTCTAAGCTTTTGGGTTATACTGGCTACTACATAAAACTCAATACTTTCTAACTTATTTCATTCGTATTTGGAGCCCGATAGAAAGTCTTGCAGAAATAGGCCCTTTCGTACGGTGCCAAAGGACATGGTGTTGTAGGTATACACCATGGTACGTGCCATGCGCTTTGGCGTAGTGTTTTGGCAGGCACTCAAACTACGTGACAAGGAATGGCTCACGAGTCACGACGGACCACGTCATATGAATTGGGCTAATGTCAATAAGCACGGCGCCGTCGGTTTTGGTGCCATGCACGCTTCTCACCAAAAGCGCTAAGGGCTATTACGCCATGCTAGCTAGGGGACTAAAAAGTAACGAACTCCAAAAGCACGTGCCCATCCCCTCCATCCTCTCTTTGAACATGGAACAAGCATTTGCGTGAATGAACACGCTAAGAAACGGCGCACGGCGGCCGGACGACGTCCACTTGAAATGTTTTGACTCACTAAAAAATTAAAATACCTTATAATTTAGAATATATAGAGAGAGTAGAAAACAGTGGTGTTGAAAGAAGTGTCCAGCTCCCACGAGAGGCTGAGGAAATAGCCCCTAGGGGCAGAAAGACATCGGTTAAGCCAAGCACACGCACGTGCCTTTTTCAACTTTACAACGGGTAAACACAATCACTATCTATTGAAACTGAGTCAACCTCTAGTTAGTTTCCTATATATGATGATTATACCTTTTATTATACTTATAGGCCTTAAATTTGTTTGATTTGATTGAATACAAAATGGGCCAAGCCCAACTAAATCCAACCCATTATATAAACATTTTTAGACCAACATGTCTTTCCAAATAAAATACAATTACACATGAACAAACTTTTGGTTTTCTTACTGTTGCGTGGCAAAATTCACTTCATATAAAACTGCAGTGACAGTGAGATACAGATACTGTCATTCTGCAATTAACAAAGTACCAAAAATAAACTCAAATACATGATACAACACACGGGGTAGCCGAGCACTCCGTACACACGTATACACTTACAAGTTATAATCACTGACCACCAACCAAAAGAAGAAGAAAAAGATGACAGAAAATGATCTGACAAAATTTAACACAATATATAATTTAAAAAAAAAGACTCAATACAATATATAGAAGTATACAGAATCACATACATACATAAAAAGGGAACAAATACCACTTGAAAAAAAAGGGAACAAATACTCCAAGGAAGTAAATCTGCTCATGAAAGGCAGCACAGCATGCATGCCCAGCGAACACACATGCATGCGTTGATCGCGAGTGATCAACTATCGAATAAATACTCGATGGACAATGTATCTGACATCGGTGAACTGAATTATGCCGAAGGAGGCGACGCCACGAACGGCATGGGCACGCCGGCCGGGATGGTGGAGGGCATCGGCGGCAGTGTCAGCTTAGGCACGGCGGCGGGAATCGGCGGTAGCGTCACCTTTGGCACGGTGGCGGGTACAGCCGGCATAGCGATAGGGGGCAGCGCGGCGGTGTTCGGCACTGTAGGCACCGCGGGCACGGTGACCGCGGGGATCTTGGGCAGCGCGGGGATCGGTGGCACGGCGCCCACCGCAGGCACCGCGGGGATCTTGGGCAACGCGGGGATCGGTGGCACGGCGCCCACCGCGGGCACCGTCGGCACGGCGGGCATCGGTGGAAGAGTGGCCGCGGGCACCGTCGGCACGACCGGCGGCTTCGGCACCGCAGGAATGCCCGGGACGGCGGCAGGAGCAGCGGCCGGGGCGGTCGTCGTGTCGGCAAGATGCCGCGCGGCGTGGCACGTGCTGCTGCCCTCGAGCATGATGAGCGCCATCATCACGAGTGCCGTGGCGGAGACGAGAGACGAGGCGGCGGAAGCCATGGCTACTAGCTAGCAGAAGTGCTGACTCAGGAACTAGCTAGCTAGAAACTGAAGGCTCTTGCTTGCGATGGAGATGCAAAGACATGGGTGCTTGCCGGGCATTTTATAGCTTCATTTCGATGCTGAGCACGTACTCTTTCGCCAGCCAGTTGGGAAGTTGGATATTGGGATAGATGGTTGGTGGCCTTCCTTCCAGTGCAAAGCATGGGCAGGGCAGGTGGCTGGCTGCTGTTGGAGGTGTTTGGTTCATTAGCTCACCTTCTTGTAGCTGGAACCACACTGCATGCATGACGCAAGATATTGGACACTACTCAACTCATGCTGCGTCGTTATGAATCTGCTCTGACCTCTGTGGCTCTGTTTGACAAGTTGATGCAGGTTTTCTTTTCTCTCAGCAGGTTAATTGTACGACAGCCAAAGACATGTTTGACGGTTCTATCTGTGCATGATTTGTGTTTTACGCGTGTGTCTAAGTGTCTATATGTAAGGACCATCGACCACGTAACAAGCTGTGTGCTAATCTTGACATGGTTAACCTAAGTATATATTATCATCTGGCAAATTATATTATACTGTAGTAATCAAGTGCTGCACTACTTGCTTCACCTTCACTGCGTCTTGGAATACACACATAGAAATCCTAATTAAGAACCATATGCTGAACTTAGTACATGTCGATATTATGCAAAATCCGAAATGAGTATCTTGCCTTCAAAGAAAAGAAACCCTCATTTAGTGAACACTACCACAATCCTGAATTACCTTGAGGACCAAGAATTTTCTTGAGTGCCAAAATGAAACCGACAAAGAAAATGTAGTTTCCTTGGCTGTGAACATCGACCTCCAAGGAAATATGTATTTCTTGGATGTTGAAGTAAACCGCCAAGATATCCTCATTTAGTGAACGTGTACGTCGAGTATGTGCATCATTATATGCCCTTAACCAGATACTATATGATAAATAATATATTTTTTGTATTGATTACTAGAGCACAGAGATGCAGAATATGGCACATCAGGGAATAATTGTTGAAGGCTTAACTTTGCATTCTATAAGAATCAGACTTTCGAAGTTGTTTTTTCTTTTCTCATGCATGATAAATAGTTATATAGGCCCCATACATATCTTCAATTTTTTTAAAACAACGGCAAGAGCTTAGTTGTTCATTAAATTCGAAGAAAAAAAATGACCCATATGTACATTTTTTAAGAAAAGCACAAAAATGAGTGGTTAATATATAATTGGATCAACTTATTCACCTGTTGGGATATAATCTATCGGAAAGGAGCATTGTTTCTACTTATATATCTAAATAAGTGCATCAACTCCATAAGGACAAATAAGAATGCTTGTTTTATTTGCACCAAAGTTCTCTCAGACAATACATGCTTAATAAGTCCATTAAAGGTAGAGAGGATCTGCCACAAAATCTTCTCTGGCAATACTAAAAGTGAAGGATTTAGTGGGGGGGAGGAGATTAATATGATGCCCTAGGAAAACCTTATTTTCTGATATATTATTATTGTTCCCTAGAAGCCTTTCGTTTAGAAGACACATTCATCGACCTCCAGCACGTACTCACAAGTTTAGGGTATATGGAACTTTTGAGCTAATAACATTCAATATCTTCCAATACAATTTCATATATATCTTCTTTGTTTAATTGGTGGTCCTTTCATCCATATCCAATTAATTCACCTTCCGGCTGTCCTTTTCAAACAGACAAACACAGAGAAAATAAAACCAAATAAAGTCCTTAACTTATTTCCTTTAGATAGTTAAAGTAGTACACAAGTCCTGACCTCTGTTTATTACACCAACATCCATATAAATACATATGGACTCCTTTGGACAGCAATTATATATCCTGACTTACCCACTACATCATTAGCTGCTCATCAGTCATGGATGCCTCTTTATTATTTCTAGTATAACTAGCTAAGCAAGCTATATATTACTACAAGATCGAGTAAATTAAGTTATTCATTACCTCGGAGGCAAGACATATACATCACCTCGAAACCTCAGCACACGTACATACTCATCATCGCTTTTACACTCTCACTGCTGCTAGCTGCTGCCTAGATCATCATGCCTTTGCATACTGCAGATCCGTTAGTTACGCAGCCGGAGCGACGTCATAGTCATCATCGTCATCGTCGCCGGTGCTACGGCAGCCCGTGAGGTTGCCCTCCATGGGCAATGCCCACACAAGGCGATCGCAGTACTGATCGTCAGACCTGGCCATAACCGCCATGCCTATTAGCTCGAGCTAGCTACCTATTAGCTCGAGCAAGAAGAAGCTAGAGTGGTCAGTGACGAGTGAGCTAGCAATACTGTGGAGCTAGTAGCTTACTAGTGTGAAGCTCAGAAGCTCTAGCTAGCTAGCTAGCTACTTGCTTGCTTGGTTTATGGAGGAGGGTTGGCGAGCAGGTGGAGGTATTTATAGCCATTGTCGCCGAGGTCTCTCCTTGGCGTCCGTGCGCCACGTTCCAGATCGGAGCGAGAGGTCCAGATCGCGCTAGCGCCTCTTCGCAGAGAGCAGGGCTTCATGGCCAGCTAGCTCGGTTAATCGCGAGGAGGAATCACCGGCCGGCCGGCAAGTGGAGAAAAGATCTCACAGTATCTGGGAAGATGGACGAAAGATGAAGACACCATGAGATTACTGGTCCAGCATTGCAAAAGGCACCGCAAACAGATCTCATCTCTCTCTAAAGCCAGAGGAGCACAGATACCCATACCCCGGCTCTCCCTTGCTTTTCAGTTTTTTTCCATGGACACATGCACAGCGATGTCCGGTTGGGCCCACCTCGACATCTGACGTGGCTTCACGGCGTTGGATTTTCTGTGCCAATATAGCGAGTTACAGTAGTAGTACCATTATATGTTAACAAAAAAACGGTTGCGTGAGTGCCAGGTCGCCTATTCTTTTTCAACAGTTCAGGGGCATATGCATGTGCATTGTTGGTACGCTGGCTCGTCGGTACGTGGACGTACTTAGTTGACAGTGACCTAGTTAACAGCTGACAGATCTCGAAAAGTTTAAGAATCACTTGGCCATTGTCACCTAGTATAGTCTTATTATCTTGTGAGTAAATCAAATGTTACACAGTCAAACAATGTGCATGTGAGAGTGTTTGCACGTAAGTGCCCACACATGTCTTCTAGCTAATTCCATAAGTTATCTTATTTCCTTATCAAATCATTTATGAAAGGCTAAAACAGGACCGCTAAACTCAGAGCCTATTTGATGCATATGGCTAATTGTTGTCAGCTAATGATTAAAATAACTAGCCCATGCAAACAAAGGGCTAATAGGTGGGTTAATTTTTTAGCCAACTCTCCAATTTTGGCTAAATTTTAGTTCTAGCTAAAAACCGTTGGTACCTTATTCAAACAGGCCCAAACAGGTCCTTAGCCTGAGTGTTTCTTCACCCTCCTCACACAAGAATGCTTTCATCCCCTTCTTCCCCCTTCCATTGTCCACAATATATTCATCGTCACCCTGAGAGGAGGTTAGGGTTTGTCTTTGGGGGTTTGAGCTCAGACGAGCTTTCCTTTAATCCTTGGTCATAGATAGAAGGTTGGGGAGGAAGGCTGGCTCAACAACGGACGAATGGTGGGTAGAACAGCAAGATGGTGACGCCGGTGCTGCTTGGTCCTTAACGACATAGGGTAGCCATTTGGGGTGTCTAAGAACGAGGTGATTCACCCCACCGAGCTAGTACAGGGCAAGAGAGGTGATGGATCTGGTGGGTGGTAGAAATCAAGCATCAGTGGCGTCGCTCATGGAACAATAGATGGTGACATAGGTTCAGTGGCGAAGCCAGCTCAAAACTAACCCTGGTGCACTCTCTATCAAATATCAAGGAATCTATACAATTATAAAGGAAATACATGGAAAAGTTGAGGTAGACATTAGTAATTTTTGGTTTTACCGTGGTGCACGTGCACCAAGGAAAGCCAACGTGGCTTCGCCCCTGCATAGGTTGGTCAGGGTGGTAATGCATGACCACTACGATTGACGGCATGGAGGCAAGAGTAGCAGCGATTAAGTGGCCCACTCAGGTGGAGGGTGGTACATTGGTACGATGGATGGACCTTGATCACTACCGGAAACGTCAAATTTGCCGAGTGTTTTTGTGTTTGCCGAGTGTATTCTCTCGGGCACTCGACAGACAAGTTCTTTGCCGAGTGCTGCCATAAAAACACTCGGCAAAAAAAACACTCGGTAAAGAGGTGGTTTGCCGAGTGTAAAAAAAACACTCGGCAAAGATAGGGTTTGCCGAGTGTTTTTTTACACTCGGCAAAGGAAAAATATTTTTTCTAGGAAAGAAAGAGAAGAAAAAAATGAAAATTTTTTTGCCGAGTGCCCAGATCTAGGACACTCAGCAAAGTAAAAAAAAAATCTGGGAAAGAAAGAGAAGAAAAAAAAATGAAAAAAAAATCTTTGTCGAGTGCCTAGATCTATGACACTCGGCAAAATAAAAAAATATTTTTTCTGGGAAAGAAAGAGAAGAAAAAAATGAAAAAAAAGTCTTTGCCGAGTGCCCAGATTAAGGACACTCGGCAAAGTAAAAAAATATTTTTCTGGAAAAGAAAGAGAAGAAAAAAAATGAAAAAAAAATCTTTGCCGAGTGCCCAGATCTGGGACACTCGGCAAACGAAAAAAAATCTTTTTTTAACCCCAGCGGACACGCACGTGGTCTCCCCGCACGCTCCCCTTCTCCCCGCGCAGCGTCCGCGCGCCCCCTCCCCTTCTCCGCGCACGGGCACGCACCGCACCCTCCGCGCGCACGCGCACGCGCCGCCCCCTCCTCCCTCTCGGCCCCGGCGCGGCCCCACCCGCCCCTCCTCCCTCTCCGGCGCCGGCGCGGCCCGCCCTCCCCTCCTCCCTCGAAAAAATGTTTGCCGAGTGTATTTTGGGCAGTCGGCGAAGTCTTTGTCGAGTGTCCGACAAAAAACACTCGGCAAAGTCTGTTTGCCGATAAAAATTCAC